CGGCCGAGAACGCGGTGATTGCTGTCGTGGAATTCATCCGATCATCCCACGCGACGTTTTAAGCCAAGCTTGTAATCGTTTGAAACAGTGATGAAGTTATATGGTCATGGGAAGAGCTCGTAGTATCATAGAGTTTGTGATCTTCGGTTCTTGACCCCGACAATGTAAGCGTTCCAGGCGTCACACTGGTTGAAGCTCTCGAGTTCTTCGTAGTCTCCTTTATCATCGTTTGTGTTGTCAAGGCCATTCTTTCTCTCGAGCAGCTCGGGCCTCTCGCACAGCCACAAGTGAGTTGAATCGAATCCAGCCTCGTCTAGGCAGTCACGAACCTCTGGAATCGTCCACCTGGGAACACATATAACAAAAAGAAAACACTGATTGAATCGCGAACTTAAGACCGAACTTACAATCGCCAGTGGTACGAAAAGGCGTGACGAAGAACTCTACGCGACTTGGCCAGCTGGAAGTGCAAGCTTATCCTCGTTGTCCTCTTGATAATGTCGAACTCTTCTTGCTCCCAAGTGTACTGGCACAAAGCAAACAAAGTAATGGAATCGCTGCGTTTCTTTAAAGAAAAAATAAGTCTCGTACCGTGAAGTCGCTGTAGCGTCTGCGGATCCTTAGCGACTGCTCGGACGACAATCCTCCATACAGATCCATCACAAACACTCCACCTTTGTTGCTAATGGAGCTCAGTGCTTGCCGGAAGTAAGACACCAGATCCTTACGTTCCTGGAGGCAGCAGCAGCTAAAGTTCAATGCACAGATGACATCCGAGCGTTGTTCCACTCTTGTTTCTTCTGGATCTTCATCTCCTTCTCCACCATTCCTTGTCTCTACAGAAGCTGGAGATCTGTTCTCGAGCACAAACTTACCCGACTTTGCTAGCGGATGAAGCACATTCTGGTGGAACAAATCAACACGATTTGCTGTGTCACCCCGACCTCCCAGCACGTTGTTCTTGAGCCCCCAAGAGAGAGCATCGTCATCCAGATCCACGCCGACAGCTGTTCTTCGCGCGTCGCCTCGCACCCATTCTGCGCTGCTCATGAAAAGTTACTGGAGAAGCCCAAGAAAAAACTCAAACCAGATCAAAGCTGTGCCGCAGAAATCCTCGCGCATATGGAGTGGAATTCGACCTCCAACGTAAGTGAGAAAGAATTTCTGCAAGTAGCTGATCTCTCCCCGCGGAGCCTGCAAGTTTGTCCAATCTTCTCAAACCAAAAGCAAGAAAAAGAGCCAACGCTTTACTTGAACAGCGCGCTGGTACAAATCGTGCTTGAGCCCCTCGTCGCATTCCTCGTCCCCCTGCACGGCCGCCGCGCCATTGCCGTCATCGGCGCCATCGGCATCTCCCTCCAATGCGCTGTGGCAGTCGAATGCGGAAGAAGGGAGCTCCTCCTCCAAGCGCTTGCGGTGATGCTGCTTCTTCTTCCCCATTCTCTTCCCTAGTTACTTTGCCCTAAACCCCTAAACCCTTTAAGGATATTCTATTTTCCCTAAAATCAATACATTAGTCAATAGCCCTAGATTCTTCTCGGGTTCGAATCTTTTCTAAAGATATAAATCCCTAAAGTATATTCCTCTCCATTTGAAAAATCATAACACTGCCCTGCACTGGCGGCCGTCAGTCAGCGCCACAATTACGCGGGCGCCTCGTGTGTGTAGACCTCCGTACGTGATGATCCAACCGATTTGATCTAGCCCCGGAATCTTTCTCTGAAACAACGGCGCGAGCAAGAGGATGATCCACAGCGCGGTAATGCTGATCGCATTCTTTTCACTCCAGGTAACTACAGCTCAAGCATCCAGAGCTCCATCTCCTTCTCCTGGAGGTCAAGCTCCAGCTCCAGCTCCAGCGCCAGATTCTTATGAAGTCACAGTGCCAGCGGCGGCGAGCTCTCCGCCATCGCCGCCAAGCTCCGCTTCCAAGGCTCCCGTTGTCGATCCCAGCGCTCTCGGCGCGGATCGTTCCTCGCCCTCGATGAGCAGCCGGCGGAAGATTGGGATCGGCGTGGGCGTGTTCTTGGGCTCCTTTGCCGCGGTCTTTGTCTCGCTCGTGTACCGCAGGAGGAGATGTAACGTCAAGAAAGTGGAGCATGGAAGCAAGCGGATCCCATTCCGGGAAGAGCTCTAGGAAGATCTTTTGGCCCTGACAATGTAAGCTTGACTCTCCGGTTCTTCGTAGTGGGTTGAATCGAATCGAGCCTCGCCTAGGCAGTCGCGAAACTCTGGAATCGCCAACCTGGGGAGAAACAAACAAACAGTCCACTCATTCCAGGGATAAACCAACTTAGATATGAAACAGCGTGACAAATGCAAGCTTATTTTCTTGTCAATGTCGACTTCTTGTTGCTCCAGGCCTTCGTTTGTTCTTTCCAGCCAAAATCGCGTCGCGTTACTTCAACTTTTGTTTCGCACTTACGTAGGATGCGGAGACTTTTACGAGAGACGTACTGTCAAATCGCAGTAGCGTCTGACGCGTCAACAACTGCCCGGACGAAAATCCTCCATACTGGTTAGCTTTCAATTGAAACTCACCATGCTTTATTGTGGATGAAACTCTCATCAGCCAAACAGGGAACCAACAACACCTTCGAAAACACCACCGATCTCGTCCTCCACTTTCGTGTCAATGCCGTCGAGTCGAGTAGCTTTGGTGGAGGACGTGAAAGGAACCCAGTGGTACACTCCATATCTTATTGAGAAGGTGGAGCTACGGATCGCCACAAGCAAGGCAAATAATTCTCAGATAACAACAAACCATCACATTGATCCTGCGCGATTCTAAGGACGGACTGAAAAGAAAAAAAGCAGTTCCTTACAGTCAGCTTTAAATGAATGATATTGATATCATACTATCAAAATGATCACAGTATTTCCATTCTCAAATTCCCCTTAGTAAATTCTTAAAGAGTATATTCTTTTTCATCCTCGTTCAACCGGATCGTCCGCCACAGCCGCTGCTTCCTCGGACGAAGATTTCTTGTGCGAATCCACCCGCAAGAATCCATACGTGCTGGATGTGAGGGCGCCAGGGAGCGCCCTGTGTACCATGTTCCAACCGATTTGATGGATCAAACACCGAAAGTCTTTCTCTGGATCGAGATTCGAGAGAAACAACACTCGAGCAAGGGACAAGAGGATGATCCACAGCGCGGTGATCCAGGTAACAACAGCTCAAACATCCCGAGCTCCAGTCCCAGCTCCTAAGCTCCAGCTGCAGCTCCAGATTCTTACGAAGTCACAGTGCCAGCGGCAGCGACCGAGCTCCGCTCCATTCCCCAAAGTCCCATTGTCGATCCAGCGCTCCTGATTCCTCGTCCTCGATGAGCAGCCGGCGGAAGATTTGGATCGGCGTGGGCGTGTGACCGCGTGTCTTGGGCTCCGTTGCCGCGGTCTTCCCTTCGCTCGTGTTTCGCGAGAGTGGAGGCTTTAGAGTTGCTAGAAAAGATCTTGTAAGCTTAACTCTCCGGTTCTTTGTAGTCTTCTCCTGTATCATCGTTTGAGTTGAGCCTCGCCTAGGCAACCACGACACTCTCGAATCGCCAACCTGGGATCAAGAAAACAAACAGTCCACTGACTCCAGCGAACTTAAAATCAGCTTGATACGAAACAGCGTAACGAAGCTGGAAATGCGAGCTTATCTTCGTCTTGTCCTCTGGATATTGCCGAGTTCTTCTTGCTCCCAGGTCTCTGTTTGTTCCTTCCAGCGAAAGGTACGATTTTTCGCTGGAAAGAACAGCATCAAACTCCTATTGCCTGCAAAACAAAATAAGCGACAGACAAAATGAGTGACGAGACGCCATTTTCGATTCGTACCGTCTGTGGATCCTCAACAACTCCTCGGACAAATATCCTTCATCACAAAAGGCACTCCACCTTTCCTGCCAATGGAGCTTAGCTTTACATAAAACTCACCATAATTTTTTAGTCGATGAAACTCTCATCAGCCAAACAGGGAACCAACAACACCACCCACGACTTTCTCAGTGCCCTTGGTAACTCCACTAACCACAGTTCCCGTTCCGCTAACAACAGAACCCACAAGACCACCACTACCAGTAGCTGGTTTGGAAGTAGCGGCTGGTTTGGAAGGAGCCGAGCCACTGATCACGCCCCTGACGTTGAAAATGGACACACCTTCGTAAACACCACCGATCTCGTCCTCCACTTTCGTGTCAATGCCGTCGAGTCGAGTAGCTTTGGTGGAGTACGTGAAGGGAACTCTGCATTTTCCCCTGGTACACTCCACTGCCACCTTGGCCTGGAGCAAGAAAGAAAAGGTAAAAGAATCAAATTGAATGACCCCAAGGCTTGAAAACTTTCTCACCTCTCCTCCGGGAGGCACGTCTTTGATGAGATAGCCAGACTGGAATGTAAGCAGGTTGGTCATCTCCTTTCCGAGCTCGGTCTCGGTGGTTTTCTCCACCCCGACTGTGACGGTGGCTTCTACGGAGGCGATCTCGGGGATTCCAGCGCTCACGGTCAGGCTGGTTTCCAGTCCCACCGTCTGGGACGTCATCCAGCGGTTGCTCGTTGATACGGACTCGGTGAAGCTGACTTGAACCTGGAGGTCGGCGTTCTGGCCACCGTTGTTCACCACCGAGCCTTGGCCGACGACCAGAGGACGGATATCGGTCACCTCCGCAAGCCCGAGAAGGTACTTCACGTTGAAGATGTGCTTGTTGCTGGTTCCATCATAGACGGTGAAGTGTGTCGCGGCGTTGTCGACGCTCGAGGAGACGGCCTTGAGCTTGTTTTCGTTGTCGCTACGAAGGACAAAGAGGCCCGAGTCGTATCCGACGCAGCGGATGGTGATCATGTTCTTACTCACTCTGGATGCGTTGAAGTGGCAGAAACGATCCTCGAGAGCGGCTTCTTTCTTTGTGTCTGCGATGATCCAGTCATCGTTGTCAGTGTCCCGGCGCCAGAAGAGCTTGCTGGTAACGCTCTGGAAGATAAAGTTCCCGTCCACAAGTGGCGTGGCCTGGAAAGCTCCCTCGAGCTCGCGGCTGTCCATGTTGCACCGCAACGACTTATCTCCCGAAGAGGCGGATAGAAACTTGCCGTTGTTGGCCTTGAGCATTAAGAAAGTCGGGAAATTGAGAGCAAGGCTTTCGGCGTTCTGCACTTCGGCCGCTGGGAAAACGTCGAGACCGTCGATTGTGGACTTGATAACGATCTTGTTCTTGGCATCGGGAGCTTCGACGATCTGGAAATGATAAGTTTTGTCGCTTGGATCCTTGGGCTCTTCATGGGCTGACGGAATTGTTCCTGGCGAGGAATTGTCGTAAAATCTCCTCCAATAGCGGCCATTTGGAGCACGGATCATCACCGTCGAATCAGAGTTGTCTTTGGAGTTGTAGAGGGCTTCATATGTTGAAAGACGGGTTCTCTCCTTGGAGGAGAAGAAGTTGAAAGGGAGGTAGTTCAAAACAGCACTCAGTGTCAGGTAGTTCCCTTCGGCATTCTTCAGCGTGAAGTAGTGGGGGAGCCTCACTGGTTTGGTGTTGGACGTCATCCCTCCTTGTGATCTGCAAACCGAGAAAATTGTTACCGAGAGCAAAGCATAAGAGCAATGCATGGAGCAACTTACAACTTGCGATGCAATAGGATGATGTTGTATGAAGACTCGCAGCTAATATTTATACAGCGGCAGAAGCATCTTGAACCACAAGCGCAAAAGGCGATAATTCTCAAATAGCAACAAAACGTCAATATTCGTTGTACTAGAAGGATCGCAAAGAAAAACGCAGAATCGTACCGTCAACTTTAGATGAATGATACATAACACCTTCTCAGAGTAGTAAATTCCCTCAAAGGTCATCCTCTACAGATTCACACTGTAAGAACATCATAAACACTTGCTTACTTGGTCGAGCTCTCAGCTTGTAATTTGAGTCCACGGTCTGCCATCTACCATCTTGGTCGCCAGTCCCTTCGGCAGCTTCACAGTTTCTCCCTGCTTGAGGATCATAACCAGATTGTTGGGATCGGCTAGAACACCGATATCTGCTATTGGATTCTTGTCTAGCACCAGCAAATCTGCGTAAGCTCCCTCTGCCACGCAGCCAATCTGGCCATCCATGTTGAAGAGCTGCGCACAAGTACTTGTCGCAGACTTAAGAATCGCTATAGGAGACTGCACGCGTGATCGTAGAGAAAACTCCTCGAGTTGATGGTCGTGCATCGAACCAAGCAAGTCCGTCCCAAAACAAATATTCACACCTCGTTGGTCTGCTAGTGCCACCACGTCTAGTCCTCTCTCTAGCAAGTCCCCTACCTGCAGGCCCAGTAAGTAGAAAGAACGAAAAGTTATCCTTCTATCACCTTTGCAACAAGCTCCGGGGCCATACCGGAAGCTTCACCCTGGCGACGAATTTGATGGTATGTCACAAGAGTTGGTACTAGAAATGCACCTTTCACCTTCATCAAATCTAAGCATTCCGTGTCAGCGAGCTGCATAAAACCAGTTAGATTTTAAGTCGCTGCAAAACCAAGATAAAAGGACTCACGTTTCCATGCTCTATGCTACGGACCCCAAGCTCTAGCGCTCTCTTTACAGCTGCAGCGGTGTAGGCGTGCGCGCATACGTACTTGCCGCAATGCGTAGCCTCTTCTACAATGGCAGAGATTTCTTCAGCTGAAAACTGTGAAACAAAGTCATTTGGTGCGCAAAACCAACTAGAGAAGCATTACCTGCAAACTAGTAAGATGATCAGTTGGTGAAGAGACACCGCCAGACGCCATGATTTTGATATGATAAGCGCCTTTTCGAAGTTCATCTCGAGCAGCTTTACGAGCTTCAGCGACGCCATCGCATACCCGACCAAGGGCTAAGGAGCCCGAGCACGAGCAAATGTCGTCTTCTCCCGCCAGTCGCATATCTCCGTGACCTCCTGTTTGTGAGAGCGCATGGCCACCAAAAAGGATCCTCGGGCCAAGAATTGTTCCTTCTTCCACTGCCTGTTTGAAGATGATTGGTATCAAGACGTGTAGATCTGGAGCAATAGCATCTTCTTTCAAAAACATGAACAGGCCATAGAATGAACCTGACAACCAAATGCAGCTTCTCTGAGATGCATGGCTAGAATAAGTTGGAGACATACCTTTGCAAGTCCCCAGTCGCAGCCGCCAACGTCTCTCACAGTCGTAAAACCCCGCATCAGCATGTTTTGCAACACCTTGGTCGCCCTCGCAGTGATAAGAGAAGCCGGAATACTTGACATATCATGCAAGTTCGCGCTTATAGCCGTGACATGGACGTGAGCGTCACAAAGACCTGGTATCAGGAACCGACCTCCCAAATCCAAAACCTGCAAAAAAGACTTGTGTGATCAGAGAAAAATGTATAATAATCACCGAAGTCCTTGTTCTTACTTGCGAAGCGTAGTAAGCAAGAGAAGGTCCAACATAAGCAATTCTCTTGTTCCTTATGAGAACGTGATCGCCGTTGGTAATATTTGTAGACGCACCGACATGAACGATACTGCAGTTGCATAGCAGGAGAGTTCCTGCCTCTGGTTGAAGCTGGATTTCTCTCGGCCACAAGGACCTGGATACGAGAGTCACAAACAGGACAGATAGAAGATCAAACTTAAGTACCTATTGTTCTGCTTATATGCAGCTTTTCTCTTCTTTCCCGCTGGTTTGCTGCCGGGGTTATCCAGCTGCAAGCATGAATTTCGAGAGCCATTACCTGCATTCACAGCACGCAATCAGTCGAGTAGAAGTAGAAACAAGAACGAAAACCAAAAAATAAGAAAGAAAAAAGATCTTCACCATTGCTAGTAGCACTTCCAGTTTCCATTGCCTTGGCTGCTCCCTCCATAGGTGCTCCTTTTCCAGCTCCCATCCACTGGTTCATTGCGTGGAATAAGTCCCCATAAAAGTTGATAGGGAGATCCTTGTCCTTCCGATCAGCCTGCGAGAGACTCCAATACGACTGTCCCATCGGAGCCGACGTTTCATACTCCACGATCCTCCTGAATTCCCTGGAAATATATTCCCAGCGCGAGCGGCACTGATCGGCACTTCTTTGCACGCCTTGCAGCCACAAAACGTCCTCGATGTCTTGCCATCGCTCTTTCTCCGACTTGTTGTTCCTGGTTCTATATCCAAACTTTCCCATCCCAGCTTTCCTCGCGGTCTGGAGAGCCAAGAGCTCTGGCAGCATCCATATCCCCTTCCGATAGACTCGTTCACCCTCCATGCAATCCCTTCCTCCACTTCCAGCAGTAGCAGCACTACCAAGAGCTGGATTTGCTGGAGCAGCAACGTATGGAAATCCAGATCCTTGCTTGTGGAATCCAAGCGCCTGATCGCGCAGCTTCTCACAGCTTCCAGGATCGTCTTGATGGTGGTGGTGGTGCTGCTTGTGCTGACGATCCAGCTCGTCATTGTCCAGCAGCGGAAGAACGAACCTGGTGAGCGGATCGACGCCTCTGTGATCCTTGCCGGAGAAGCTACTGTCTAGAATACCTGAATCCTCTTCGCTCACGACCACGGCATCACATCCCTGCTGCGCGGCCTTCTTCTGGAGCTCCTCCTCGTCGTCTTCATTCTCCTCGTCTTGATCTTGATCTTGATCGTCGCCTGGAGCTGGATCCCGGCCTTGATGCTGCTGCTGCTCGCTGTCCAGCGCATCGTCGCCGCGCACGAATGAGGAATCCATCCAATACCCTAGCCCAGCGCTGGGAGGAACCCTACTACATTTGAATCCTCGCGATCGAGCAAGATATTTCCCAGCGAGACATAGGTCGCGGAGTCGCGTGGATCCATCTCGCCAAGCCGCAGCGCGGCATTCCAGGCGCGATCGACGTCGCCGTGGATCTGGCAAGCGCTGAGAATCTCCCCCCACATCGCGGCATCTGGCTCGAATGGCATGGATTCCATGAGCTCCTCGGCGGCATCCAGCATTCCCGCCCGGCCGAGCCCCAGCAGCATCGAGCCGTAGTGTTCTTTCGCCGGATCGAGGCCATAGTCTCGCCTCATCGATCGGAAGTACTCTCCAGCGCTTGCCACGAATCCGTCGTGGCCACAGGCGCCAAGAACCGCCACGAAGGAGATTCCATTCGGCGCCACGCCCTCGAGCTGCATGATCGCGACCACCGCCATCGCTTGGCCGCCGTTCTCTTGCGCCATCAACGCGGTCCAGGCCATGACATCTCTGTGCGGCATTCTCTCCAAGATCTCCCTCGCCTCATCCAGATCGCCGCTCTGGGAGTACGCCGCGATCATCGTGTTCCACAGGATCGCATCGCGGCTGTGGAGCTCCACCACATCGAAGAGCGATCTGGCCTGTTCTAGATCCCCGTTCCGGGCGTATGCATGGATCATCGCGGTTCTCGCGACAATATCTTCTTTCTCGGCCATGGAATCGAAAATCTCCCTAGCGCTCCCGACATCGCCATCGCTACCGAGAGCCGCGATCATCTCCGTGCACGACACTGCGCTGTGCCGAGCCATCTTCGCAAAGACACTCTTGGCCGCCGGGATTTCCCCGTTCCGGGCAAGCACGAACAAGATCGTGTTCCACAGAATCGCGTCTCGATCGCGCGCTTGATCGAACAGCGCCTTCGCCAAATCGGCTTGATCGCGCTCCTGGCATGCCCGGACAAGAATTGTCGATAGTCCAGCGCTCTTCTCTGGCATCGATTCTAAGGTTCTTGCCGCTATCTCCAAATGCCCCATCTCGGCATAGGCTTGGATTAACGATCCCCACATCGATGGATCCCAGCTAGGGCTCTTGTGGAGCATCGTCTCGGCGTGGATTGGACCTATGCGAGCAAAGGCGACGATCATGGCGCTCCAAGAGGAGGCGCTATGCTCCGGCATTTGATCGAACGTGTTCTTGGCCCTGAAAAGATCCCCCTTTGCGGCATTTTCTGCCACAATCGCTCGCCAAGAAGCGATGCTACGCTGTGGCATTCTCTCAAAGTAGAGATGCAACTCATCTATTTCAAGATTCTCGATCGCCAGCATCGCATTCCAGGAAACCTCGTTCTTCTCGGGCATCGAATCGAACAGCGCTTTCGCTGGATCCAAATGCCCAGCGTCGGCAAATGCCAAGATCATCGAGTTGCAGCACATCGTGTTGCGCGCTGGGATCTTTCCAAACATCTCCTCCGCGCGATCAATTCTCCCGCTGCCAGCGTAGCTTTGGATCATGCCAGTCCACGAGATGAGATCGTGCTCCGGCATCTGGAGAAACGCTCTGGATGCCTCGTCCCAGTTCTTGGCGTTCTTGTGGGCGACGAACACTGTGTGGAAGGAAATGACGCTCCTCGCGGGCATCCTGGCGAAAATCTCCTCCATCTCCTCGATCCTGCCACTCTCTGAGAAGCCTTTGAGCAAGATCGTCCAGGAAACCACGTCGTGGCAGCGATTGAGCGCCATCGCATCGAAGACGCGCTTGGATCGATCGAAATATCCATTCCGCGCGTATGCCGAGAGGAGGAACGTCCAGGAGAAATTGTTTGGATCGGGCATGGAATCGAAGAGTGCCTGCGCGCATTCCACCGCATCGTGTCGCCCATAGGCTTCCAGCAAACGATTGGAGAGATAGGTGCTGCGTTGCTGCTCCACTCGCGGATGGATCTGCCTCACCTCAGACAGGCTCTTCGATCGCTTCAAGGAGCTGGCAATGCGATCGATCACGCCGGCATTCGATGTTCTTCCAAGAACCATGAAAGAACCCTCATTCTTGCAAGAATATTTCTCGGGAATATATCACAATCGTTGTCGCTGCCAATCCAGGTTTGCAATCCATTGATCACTTGCATTGCAGCATCGCATGCGTGGATCGCTTGGATTCCATCGATCAATCGCTTGCATTGAGGAAAATCTTTCACAACTCCACACAAGAAGAAAGAATTTGACTATCGACACAGTGTTCTTGGCTAGCTTAGAACGGGAACGGTGGAAAAGGAGGGAATTGGAACGAAGGATCTTCGGGGAATTGCGGCGGGGGTGGAGCGGCGAGATCACCGGTTTCTTGCGGCGGTGGTGGCGGCGGTAGCAGCGCGGTCTCTGGAGGAACAGGAACAGGGGAAGAAGGAGAGATGTCGTGATTGGGATTCACGACTCGGCAGTCTCTACGGATCTCTCCTTCGCTGCCAGTGAGAGGCTTGATGTTGCCCATCTTCACCATGGAGATGGCGAAGTTCGCGAAGAAGGCGTGTTGGTCCTTGCTAAAGAGCTCCACGAACTCTTGCGTGATCCCGGTGGTGGTGAAGAGGACTTGGTCCGAGTTGAGGAGGCCCTCTCCGCGCATGAGATTGTCGAAGTAGTGATTGTTGAAGACGGTGGGATCGCTCAAGTCGAGGCTGGCCAGAGTGTTGGGATTTGGATTTCCTTGCGGACAGAGCTGCTTCAGAGCCAGCAGGAACTGCGAGTCCATGGATGGATCGGCTTGAAAGTTTCCACTCTGGTTGTAGAGACGCTGAGTAAACGTGAAGCAGTGAGCCTGGCCGATGGTATGCGAGCCTGGAGTGTGATCAAGGTAAGCTTCTCTTCTAAGTTTTGTTTCTTTGTTCTTGTTGTGGAGAACTTACCTGAGAGTGTGATCATGTCTTGCAGTGTCAGGCCAACGTTTTGGAAGGATTTCGTCAATGCCGGAACGTCCAAAGCTGGAGAAGGGATCGACGCATTCGCTGCTGCCTGGCTTGCTGTCAAGCTATCTCTCCGTCCGAGAAGAACTTCCCACGAAGGACCTCCAGCCTACACGATCGAGAAAAGGAAGAAAGATTAAAGAGTGGAAACAGGTACTTAGGTGGTGCTTTTGAGAAAGTAGATTAGGTGACTACTTACCAGCACTACCGAGTCTCTGGCAGCTATAGCGATGATATCAGCGCAGGAGACTAGTCCGGGGCACTCACTCTCCAGACGAGCTTTGATCTGGTCGATCACTTCGAAGCCTCGGATGGAGTTTTTGTTGGGGACAGCATTCTTCTCGCCAGTGAAAGTGGGAGTGTCGTCGAGCAGCACCGAGCCATCACAACCCTGCAGAAACGAAGCTCGCTCACGAAGAAGAGAAGACTTCTACGCATGAAACTCACGTTAACAAAGCAGTCGTGGAAGTGGAGCCTTAACAGGGAGGCCGCCATTCTCGTCTCGTTCTCCACAGCCTTCTCGACGCCGGCTTGGACAATGTCTTGCAGCTGGGGACAAGTCGAGTGGTAAAACCCGGGAACGAGCAACTCCTGCTGCTGCTGCTGCTGCTGATCATCTGCCGAAGTGCTTCTGCAAATCGAGAGAAGCAACACTGCCAGGAACAAGAACACTGCGATCGAAAAGGAAGGAAAAGAGAAGGAACAGTGAAAGCAAGGAGGAGGAGGAGGAGGAGGAGGAGATCGAGGAGCCACCATCACTCCGAGGTATGCTGGATCCACAAATGTTCGTGAGCTTCCCAGCTAACTTTTTTATATACGTGGGTTTGGTGCAGACACGAAATGGTGGCGGTCACTTTTGACTGTTAAATAGCGATGCTTGTTTAGGGACGAGTGGGCACTCGTGATATCAGCAAGGACTGGCTTTTGACCCCGACTTTTCTCAAGCCAGCCGGATGAGAGCTCTGATCAAGCAAAGAAAAAAAAAAGGTGAGATTTTTTCTTCTTTCTTTCTTTCTTTCTTTTCGTTCGCTGTTGCTTCGATCAATGCGTTTTAAGTACGTGATGGTGACTCGAGTATGTTGGACATTGCAGGCTTTTTCGCTATTCAGGTCTCTCTTTCCGTGCTCTGGAGGTAAGTACGCTCTGCGCTGCGAGCTAGCTAACTTTCCATGTGAATCGTCCCTCGTGGTTGCAGAGGGCATCTTCCCAAAGGACTTCCAGCTTGAAACTTTGTGTCGCCTTGCTCCAGCGACATGATGGAAAACTCGCAACCAAAAACTGTCCGCTTATATGGCTAGCCCGGAGGATCTGTGGCAGCCACTCGCATAAACTTCTCGGAACTCGTCCGGGTAAGGCTCAAAAGCTCTTTCCTTTCTCGTCAATCGCTTCGCTTCCTTCCCGGCGCTGATCCACAGTGCTTTTGGTGCTTTTGTGTAGGTCCCGAGAAGATCTAGAAAAACAAGGAATGGGAACTTCTGCGAATGGTGTCGGTGGTGGTTCTGCGATTCTTCTCTGGATTTCGGTGTTGACAATCCTCCTCGGAGCTGCTGCCACTGTTGCCGCGAGGTCCACACTGGTCGGAGCAGCCACCGAAATGAAGAACGAGTACTTCCACCATCCTCCACTCGAGTTTCCAAAGCCGCCACCGTTCGAGTTCAAAGAACCTCCGTATGAGCTGCCCAAGCCTCCGCCATTCTCGTACAAGGAGCCACCGTTTGATCTTCCAAAGCCACCGCCACTCTCGTACAATGAGCCAGAGTTTACTCTTCCAAAGCCTCCGCCATTCTCATACAAAGAGCCACCGTTCGATCTTCCAAAGCCGCCACCATTCTCGTACAAAGAGCCACCATTGGATCTTCCCAAGCCGCCGCCAATCTCCTACAAAGAACCACCGTTCGATCTTCCAAAGCCGCCGCCGTTCTCGTACAAAGAGCCACCATTGGATCTTCCCAAGCCGCCGCCAATTTCGTACGAGGCTTCATTTCACCACCACTAGCATGGTAAATAGTAAAAACTGTACTTTGTGTGTGTAAATCTCAAAGAACGTTTATAATTTAAAAAAGCGATTAGGGCTCTTGGCGCGATGGCTATGGCGTTGGCAATGGCGCTCACGGCGTCTCCTTCGTCTCACCTCAAATTCCAGCTCTCCAGGGGACCGGCATTTCATTCCTTTCGCGTCAGCTACGCTAATGCGGCTGCCGCTCCAGCGCCTTGGGCGAGAGAAGCAGTGTCTCGTCGTCCCGATCGGGAAAGAATTGGAGCGACTGGAAATCGCAAAGGAAATGCTCCTGATGGGGACAATGAGGTAAGCTACACGAATTCTTGTCGTTTCTCTTCTCGTAGTCTACAATCTTTGGTTTGTGTAGAGCCTAGCGTTGAAAATTCTCCGGCTTGATGGGTGGGACGTTCCGTGGGGGTATGGAGTGACAACGCTGGGATTGCTGGGTTGGCTGGTCAGGTCGGTAGAAATCAAAGCTTGTTCCTGATTGCTTTTGTTGATCGATGACACTACAAGCGCAGCTTTTTTGTGACAGGCTTGGCTACGGCAGTGCTCGGTCATAATCTGGGGATCGATAGAAGAGAAATCCTCGACATGGACGAACAAGCTGCGTTCATACTTTTCAGCCAAGTGTAAGGAGTTAGAAAAGTTGCGATCAATCTTTCATGAAACTTGGCCTGTGAAGTTTGCAGACAATTACAGGACTTGGCACCATCAATCTCGTTACAACCAAGTACCAGCCTTTGCCTTCCGACATGTTCGTGTATGGTATGCTTTTATCGTTTCTCTCCTTCGTAGTTACGCTTAACACGACTTTAGATTTTAGAAAACCATTTGATTTGCAGCGAGGATGGCTGCTTTGGTCTGGAATTGGCATACTTTGCGCTGGTGGAGCTGTGGTTCTAACCAGTATCATCGTTTCATCTGTTAATGGTGAACTGCCACCACGGGAGGTTGGTTCTTGGTTGCTATATCCCAATGCACAATTGATTTCGGTTTTTATCTTTGTCAGGACAACGATGCGCTATCACAGTTGCTTCCGCTCATTGGTGTCTCGCCATTAAGGTTAGCAACGAGGTTTCTCAGTTGGATGTGTTGTGATTGATTCGCTGGTCATTTTTGTAGCACAGCGTCATTGATTGTTGTGACCGGTGCTTTGGCTCCACTGCTAGAAGAGACTGTTTTCCGCGGCTTTCTCCTGACATCTCTAACTAAGAGGTGAAAAACTGTGCTTTTACACGATCTTACACTACTGGATTCTCAGGTTGCCAGTTCCAGTTGCCGTGGTTTTGAGCGCCGCTGCGTTTGCTCTCGCTCATCTAACTCCGGGAGAATTTCCACAGCTCTTTGCGTTGGGTAAGAAATCAAGTGGATTGCCATTGCTGACACTTCCCACACAGGCATTGTCATCGGTTTTGCGTACTCTAAGACACACAACATGCTCACGCCAATTCTAATCCACGCGACCTGGAATTCTGGAGTGGTGGTAGCGCTCACAGCACTCAGTGTAAGTAGCACCAGCCTTTTTTCTTGATCTTCCAACAGAGTTGTTTGGATGGCAGTTTCAAGGATACGATTTGAGCCAAGTGCTCTCACTTATCTTAATGGGATCATAATTAAACCTTAAATGGCATCATTTGAATTTTAGGGCTACGTTTTCCCGCCAATTGGTTGGGGTTAGGGTTCTAAAGAGATTTTGGCGATGGAGCAGCAGCAGCGAATGCGCAAGGCGCAGCTGAAGTTCAAGCTCCGGGGACTAACCCTCTCGGTGGATGCGCTCAAGGCTGTTCTTGGCTTCCTAGATGAGCAATACTTGCCGGACGAGGAGGCGCTCCAGCATCTTCTGGCCGAGGTCGACAAAATCTCCCGTGAGTTGTTCTTCTTTTTGCTAGCGGCCTGTCTCATAGATGATTTCAGTGAAGAGCAATGTGCTGTCCAAGGAAGCAGCGCTGGAACTCATTTCAGCGGCCACAGGCGTGACTAGCAGCGAGCAGAATGCTCTTCTTGTTGTCGATGCCTTCAAGCTTCCAAGATTTTGCTACGATCCAATACGAAAAATGTTCTACAGGTAACGATCTCTCGCTTGGATTTCTTAGTTTTCTCGCTGTCACTGGGTTCTTTTTTCTTTTCTTTTTCGAAACTCCTTTTGTACGCTTCTACAGGTATAACAAAACACCTTCCGTTCACGGTGATGCTCGATCCAAATCTGCTCTTTACAAAGATAGGCTCCAATTGCTACATCAACGTCTTATCAGAGATAGACACTTTGCAAAGCCTGCATTTGACATGGATGGAAGCCGATCGGGGACTTGTGAGGTTTGCTTATTTTTCTTTCTTTCTTTTCTTCTACGTCTTTTCTTAAAACGCTCAATGCAGTTGTCGTCGTTGCAATCGCTGCTAGGATGCATTGGCAGAAGATGGGTTATGGGGATCGTCTCCCAACTGGAAGACGGCCGCTATTATTTGGAAGACTTGTCTGCTACAATACCGATTGATCTTTCGCAAGCTATATCCTTTGGAAAGTTTTGTTTGTACGATAAGCAGAGCTTTTGTTTTTTTTTAACTTGCAATTTCGCACAAGATCACGTCAGGATTTCTAACGGAGAACTGCATAATTGTTGCGGAAGGATTGCTGCAAGCAAACGGCATTTTTCAGGTTCGTTCCTTGTTTTAAAAGACTCACTTCCTGAAGCGCAACTTTCGACAGATCTCTACGTGTGGCTTCCCTCCATTGGAAGGAAGAAACATCTCGTTAAGTGTTACGGCTGGGCTCGACTTCTTCGGCGCAGGAGCGCTTTCTTACGATGAGATCGTATCCTTTTTTTGCTTGATTCCTTCTTTGTGTCCTTAATGGCTGTTTGTAGAGCAGACTAGAAGTGCTGGAACGCAAAGCTGTTAACGACATGTTTGTTGTTATCTCTGACGTGTGGCTGGACGATGAACAGGTAACGTATTTTCCTGCCCAAATTTCTCACATACTCTTCTGTTTGTTGGTATCCAGACTATGCGAAATCTTGAGGTCGTGCTGGATGGATTTGAAAACGTTGACGTTGTGCCATCAGTCTTTATACTCATGGGAAATTTTTTGTCACGCCCTTGCAATCTCTCTTTCCATAGCTTTGGGGAGCTTCGGTACTTTCAAGTTTTAAACATAAGCTTTGCTCTTCATGTGCTACATTGTTTGGCAGTATAGTTCGCACTTTGATAAGCTCGGCACACTAATCGCGTCACATACTCGGATCAGCTCGACCAGCAAGTTTGTCCTAATCCCGGGTCCTGAAGATCCAGGTATCGTTTTGTTTTGTATGACTTCCTGGTTTGCTAACTCAATTGTCTAGGCCCGAGTAGCGTTCTTCCGAGGCCTGCCTTGCCGAGCTATTTCACAAAGGAGCTGGCCAAGCACGTCCCCAATGTGACCTTTGCAAGTAATCCATGCAGGTAACTCTTTGTGTAATGCTGACTTTAGGATAACGAGTATCACGCAGGATTCGCTTCTTCTCGCAGGAGATAGTTCTCTTCAGGGAGAACTTGCTGTACCGCATGAGAAGGCTATGCATTGTTACACCGTCAGACGAGGAGACAACAGAGCCATTTGAGCACGTAAGTCCCCTTTGCCATCGTTTTTCCTGCTCCATAAACTCCATTTCTTGCAGCTTGTAGCGACAATCACACATCAAAGTCACCTGTGTCCTCTACCACTAACTTCGCAGCCCATTGTCTGGGAGTATGATCACGCCATGCGGCTCTATCCAACGCCTCACACTGTAAGTGTGTTGGAGGATCCTTTCCTGTTCGTCCTTGATCTATGCTCCCAATCTTTCCAGATTGTTCTAGGCGACCGCACGGAGCAAAAGCTTTTCAAGTATATGGGCGTCACGGCCTTTAGTCCGGGATCGTTCTCGGTGGATGGAACTTTTGCTGCCTACAGGCCAGCGACTCAAGAAGTAGAACTCTCTTCACTGTAAAACTAATGCTATGATCTTGCTCAAACTCGTTGTCTCGTATCGGTTTTAGAATATACTCAGCTCCCCTAAAATTAGGAGAGGAATGGATGGCTAGTATGGATAAATCATGGAAAAATAAGTTTCCATACGTACATCTAATACTTACATGAGACCTGGCGTTCTCTCGTTTATTCTCTTTAACAAAGCCCGGAGTCGTACTCTACGGCTACTATAAATCTCT